GCGAAGTTGTTTGGTTAGATTCGTAAGGACCAGATTTTAGAATTAAGTTTTTAACTCCGCCCCTCCCCCTCCCCCGCCTTTTTTCCTCTCCGCCTGCTCTGTGAAACACGAAGAAACCAGTGCACTCGAGGGCTCAAAGAGTTACCCCTCGGAGACGGAATTATCTAAAGTATATTTAAGCGTTAAAAACGTTGATGCAGAGGGCACGAACTTTCTTTTCTTTTCTTTCTTTTGTATCCCCCTCCCCTCCCCCCAACGCGCTATATAATTTACGAATTATTTATCCTAATTTAAGCCGATGTGATACTCGTAGTTCGAGTAAGCTAAAATTTAATAAAAATATTAAAAGGAATATATATTATATATGTATATGTATACACAGTCTTTCTGGTGTTGGTTCTTTTCTGATTATTTATCTGGAAGACATAACATTTCTAACAAGCAGATCTAACAGCCCACTACTACGTGAAAGAGAGTCACACGCTTCGTTCATTACCGCAAAGTTCAACTTTAACGGTAACTGTCTTTACGTTGGAGCGTTGTCAGGTTGTATGTCTGCATAGTCATAATTTTATCGAACGAAACGAAATCAAAATTACATCACATATATATTGTATAGATATATAGAAGAGAGAAAGAAAGAGAGAGAGAGAGAGAGAGAGTGAGAGTGAGAGAAAGATGAAAGCGAGAGAAAGAGAGAAGTATATATTTGTTAACGTAGCCTTTTTTATTTCGTTGCCTTATGTGCATTTAGATCGATTGCAAATTGATTAATTGTTAAACACAACTTCCAGCGAATTGTTCCGTACTATTTGTTATGCCAAACTCTTCCAACGTTTCCGAGAGCAAAGATCTTGCACACATCACATTCGACACACGGAGCCACACGCACACACTTGTATTTAGAAATAGAAAATTTTTTCAATAAAACCTTTTCAGTTGGACACGTTGAATTTTGTTTTTCGTTTTGCTGAATTTTTACGCTCGGTCGATGACGATACTCACTTTGTTATATATTTTTTTCTTTATTACAACAGATTATTGGCATAATATACTTTTCTTTTCATTCAGGTTCGTGCGCAGCTATTTAGGAATTTTCGACGAGACTACATTTGTTTGTAATAAGATTAACGGATTACATCTGAAATCACATTACTACTGTGTAAAAAGGATTTAACAACGCCGAGAGAGACGGCCGAGCGTAAAAAAACAATCCTTGCATGCTTCCAGTAGGATCCTAACTGTTAACTCCGATTGGGTTTGGTTCCTTTCTCTTCCTCAGGTCCTAAGGCTCGCTAAGGAGTAAATATTACTCGCGTGTTAATTCTGTTACGTTCCATTTTTTTGACAGCTGCGAGAAATAGGAGCCGCAAAACGTCTGATTAAACGCTTCCGCTACGATTAATCCGGCTTCATGTGACTTTGTTCTTAAACTCGTTTTGTTTTGAGTCGATGAGTCGAAAGGGCGAAATGTAAAAGATCTTTGTAAGTAGAAATGTACAGAACGGTGTTTCATGTAGTAGTTTACCGATTTCAATTAATTACAGAATTATCCTAAATAGTGTTTGGAACATCCTGTATTTTAGATGCGAGCACGATGCCTCTCGGATTCTTTTTTTCTCTGGCAACTCTGAATGTTGCACGCATCGCACGAAAAAAATTTATATATAGTATGATAAAGATTAGATAAGAATTGGTAGAAACATTTATTTTTTATGCGTTGAACTTTGCTTCTGTTTGCAAAAATTGGCTAAGTCCAATATCAACATGTAAATTTATAAAAGATATTTAATGAAATATCTTATAAAGCTTGCACCTTAAACAGATGCATTCGTATTTTATTATTATTATTATTATTATTATATTATCTTTGTTGGTTTAGCCGATTTTTAATATGCCTTATATGTTGTACTTAAGTGGGTGCATAACTTTTAACGGTGTTTGTTCTTGCCGCCAGACATGTAGAAGTAGCTGATGCGTGAAGATAATACGTAATATTTTTACATTCTTAATCGCCTGCATGCATGAATAATAATAAAACGAACAATTAATGAAATACTAAGCGTGCGAAGCGCTACCGTCAGCTGCCCTGTCGCATCGTTAAACGTCAAGTCAAAATTCTCAATTGTAAAATACATCGATATATTAAAAAAAAAGTTAATTATTAGCAGGCAAGGTAAGCAGTATGATTTCCCGAGACCGAGATATGATTTACCGCATTTCAAGAGGAGGAAACGAGAGGAAGCGTTAACGCTTAACGCTTAACAAATGAAACCATTAACTTGTCGATCATCTTTGTAGAACTTCGCTTTAACGACCTTAGTACCCACGCGAGCGGACCACGCGAGTTGCTATGCCTGTCGTCGCCCGAAAAGAAAAACAACGTGACTATCTTTTATAGATTATACAGCATTACCACCCGATCTGTCGGCCGACTGGATCACGTCGGAATATCCACTGAAGCCCGGGCTGACCGGGCCCTACATCATGCCGATGCCTGTACCCATGCCCACCCTCTACAACGGCGAAACGAAAAAACCAAAGCTAAGCATAGTCGAGCTGGTACTGTACAACATTGCGGCGATGCTGGCCGGCGTGGCCACCGGCTACGACGTCAGAATGTCGAACATATCCCCGATACACCCGCGCCTGTATCCCCGGCTGGGCGAGTGCGATGAGGATCAGCCCAGGTGGTGGTTCCAAGCGGACACCGGGTCGAATCGTAACTCCTACCTCGGCGCTGATTACGAGTTCAGCTCGAGCAGCGGCTATCCGCACAATACTTATCACGGACGGGCACACCATTACAGGTAATCTAAAAAGAAGTACATATTTATTATTGGGAAGAAAAAGGAAAAATAATCCAACGAAATGCATATTTAGTTTAGACATGGAGCTATGATTATGATAATGAATGAATATCGATAATTACGAGTCACGCAATTGTCATTGCAGGCCGTTCCTGAGTAGCATGGGTGGCATAGCGCCTGGACTTCCATCCGCGGCGATATCGGACAAGCCGTTGCGCTTCACGGACTCACCACAGCATTACACGAGCAGCACGACGGGCTCCAACGCCCCGACGCCGAGTCCGAGGAGGAAGAGCAGCAGCAGTACCAGCAACGAGGACGCGTACTCGCATGACGCGGGTCGCGTCGATCGTATGGAGAGGGTGCCGACGATATACATGGGCAATGTCGCTCCGTTTCCGGATTATGGACCACCGATGTATACCACCGTCGTACCACCGGAGTACTATCGGCCTCCAGATCCGACGTATTTTATACCTACAGAATATCAGTAAGTGCCGGTGGCAGTAAGATGAATGAATCTTGTTTGATTGATTTCTTCTAGATTGTAGACATACGATCTGAAATCATACGATAGAATCTATCAAAATGATAGCGCGGTTCCAATTTATCTTGAATGATTATCTTATTAAGGATCTTTCGTTCTTATTAATATCTAAGGATCCTTTAATTCTTTATTCTTTTCAGCGATCGGATGCTCGAGTGCCCCGAGTTCCCGCACGCGTATGACAATCCGAGTAGCATAAACAGTCCAGCCAGGCCAGTGTCCAGGCTTCTACCCTACACGCATCATCGTACCTCGTCGAACGTTTCCAATGCCAGCACGTCGAGTCAGAGCAATGTCAACCCAACGTTCCGGTTGGAGGATGAAGACGACTACGGCGTATACTCGTCGATTACACCGTATTATCAGCGACCCTCGAACGTTATTTCCAATTTAGCGACGACGTATGGCTCAAGCATACTCAATCACGAATACGGCTCACCGATGCTGACTCGCCAGAACTCGCACGATTCCAATTCGAATTCCGGCGAACGGCCGAGTAACCTGGAAGTAGTCACGCGGCTGCGTTCGAGCCTGAAACGATCCAGTTACAATCCGTACAACTCGCCGAGCAAAAGCGTGAGCAAAAACAATTCCGGTTCGGGTACACCGACGAATCCGACGCCGCCGGATTCGCTCACATCCGAGGATTCGAGCTATGTCTCGGCTAAGGATAGTCAGATCTCTATCAGTCGGGTACGCTTCTCCCCGGTGACGTTTGATCGCGACAACGTACCGACACGCGACATCCACAGGGAAACTTTATTGGATATTCCAGTTCATGGTCAGAGTCAGGACGTAACGGTGCCGCTGCAGGCTAACCGTCGACTCAATCGAAGCAGAAAGCCGAGCATCTCGGAGCTTGAGAGGGAGTTCTTGTCATAGCACTGGCTTATTTAAAGCCGCACGGTTCTCTTTCATGTAGAACCGGTTGGATTGAGCGGGTTCATTGATTCTTTATCTATTTATCAATATTTCTAGCAACTGATAGTCCTACGACGGATCTCTTTACGCCTTCGATTATACAATCGCGATTACGAGATCGTTGACCGAAAGAATTTGCAAAATAAATTGCACGTTATCGAAGCACTGCCTCCCGCGGACGATTCTCGATAGTAACAATACACTAATAAGTCTGGGAATTAACATTCCATACAACACGTACAATCCAGCGGAATTTGTATAATGTAGTATAGTAATATGCGATTGGACGGTTTTTAATTGATAATGTAACGCTGATATACGTGTCACCTGTAGAAATACATATATATATATATATATATATATATATATATATATATATATATATGCGAAATTAAGTTTCTTCTCCGTCAGTATTCTTTGTAATACATGAGCTGTAAAGGACATAGAAAGTGACAGAAATTCGTCAGAAATTTCGCAGGCAATTTATTTGAGCATGGAGTAACTTTGTAGCTGATAAGTATGTATAAGCTAACAAGTGCAATGTGTTCCACGTGTATTTAAGTGAGAATATAATGAATCGCTTCGGTATGCGGAATGCGCGCCTTAAAATAAACAAGAAACATTTGCGAAACCCAAAGCTTTCAACGGGAAAATTGTTCAATGTAATATAACTTAACTTTCACGACAGCGATTTCGTGCGAGTTTGGAAAAATCGCATCTTCGATCCGGGAATCGAATTTTTTTTTTAACCGATTCTCTGGGCGGCAACTGTAGATTGCCAAGCACGACGAACGAAATCCCACAGGATCGTTTTTATCTACGAGCAAGGAGAGAAATGATTATTATATAATGGAACGAATGAATATTTCACGACGGATCCCCGAGGACACGATTGTTTAAAAGCGGAAAATATATCGTAACAACATATATTCTTGTCTTCGATTTTTTAATGTGTTATCATTAATCCTATAACGAAGAAATAACGTGATTCAGGAGGCGAAGTGTCTGTATGAAGTGTCTGATCTGCACTAAAAGTTCATGTATTTTTCCAAGTATTGTACATTACTCTATAAATATTAATTATACAAAAATTATAAATATTAACTGGAATATATATAAAACTGATAATAATAAGAATAATAACAAAGTAGGTTTATTATTTTATTATTAGTATAACAATTCGTAATTTTAGTATTATAATACGAATTATAATACGTTATACTTATTTTTACATTTATTCTTATTTTATTATTATTATTTTATTATTATTAATAAATAATTTTGAATAACAACATGCGTAAGTTTTAGCTCTTTGATCATTTTTTTATGTCTTCCACATTCCTATAAAATATAACAACTCGGTTGTGAACAAAATCGTTAAAGTCGCCCAACAATTTGCCAAATTATTTTCATAATTATTTCAATGATCTTTCATGGAAAAATAATGCGATTTTTTAATATCGATACAACAAAACGACATCGAGATTTTGTTGTTTAGCGTTATTTTCAGAAAAACTGATGTGAATCAGATGATAAACACAAGAGCATAATAATAAAATTTCTTGTTTTCATTTTATATTGCAAATGGCCTGATGATAATTGAACGAATAAAACATGGACACTTATGATTGCAATTGCAAGGACATTGCAATTACAGAGGAAATATTTGGAGAGATTTATGCCGGTATTTCATTGTTATAATAACAGAAAATTTTGCTGTCGTAATGACGTAAAAAAAATCGCCTTTAATTATAGAATCTCCAAGAGATAAAATACGGTATGACAGTAAGAAATATTATGAAGATGCTGAAGGCAAGGAATTCCGATTGGTACCAGTAAAATCGTACACAATGGTCAATAAGAATCGCATGGAGATTATTGTCATCTCTTGGGGTGCCACGATCGTTTCTTTGAAATATCCCGATAAGTTCGGATATGTCGCAGATGTCGTGCTCGGTTTCGATGATTTGAAGAGTACGAATTTTGACGTAATTACATATTTACCCATGAAAAATCATTTAATCTCATTAATCTCGACTGAGCCAAGTCATGACTAATAGAACGATTTCTCAGGTTATACAAATCCCAGGATTAATCCATTCATAGGATGTATACTGGGCAGATGCGCGAATCGCATAAGAAATGGCAGTGTTATCATTAAAGACAAAACTTATCAGCTAACGAGAAACGATCTGGGCAAGCATCATTTGCATGGAGGTGTACGTTTGTTGTCTCATTGTTCTTTTCCAACGACATTAAATATCTCATATCGGATATTTCTCTTTATTTCAGACGAAGGGCTTCGGTCGACGATTGTGGGAATCGCGTATCGATAGCTGCTCAGTCGTAATGACTTATTTAAGCGAAGACGGCGAGGAGGGATATCCCGGGGCGGTATTGAGCACAGTGAGATTCAAGCTGACACCCGATAATAAGCTGGAAATAGGTATCCGAGCGACAACGACGGACTCCACCATCGTGAACATCTCGCACGGTTCTTTATTCAATCTCGCTGGACATGTAATTAATATCCTGCGCAATGTCGGCATACTGAAACTGGACCACTCTAAAACACAAAAAAAAATCGCTTCAATATATGTTTCTTTTTAAATAGTAGAATAAATGGACAATATATATTTTAAAGCTAATAATAAAAATGGCGTGGCAGATCTACTTATTCTGTAATGTGATAGGACGCCGGTAAGAAGGAATTGATGAAACACGAGATCTCATTGAACTGCGATCGCTGGACTTTTGCGGATTACATGGATCCGATACCAACAGGCAGCATCCGAGGGGTCGGAGGTACCATTATGGATCTGCGTGTACCGAGACTTCTGGAGAACTGCATCGAGAAGGCATCTAATTGAAATTCATGTGAATTATAGCAAATGAATCTAATAAAGTAAAGAGAAAAAAATTGTAAATTTGTATAAGCTATAGGTTCCTCCAGGAGAGGGATATGATCACAACTTCTGCGTCACGCCGAGTTGGCACGGGGGTACCGCGTACGTCGCTCGCGCTGTCCATCCAAAAAGCGGTCGGTAAGGTTCATAATAGTTGTGTACTATTCGCAGTGTTGTAGTAATGTTGGAAATACAAACAAATATATGCAGCGTCTTGGAGGTCTATTCGAATCAGCCTGGCGTTCAGTTCTATACAGGCGGTCGTTTATGCAATACTTTCGAGGTATTTTCAAAATGCGATACTTAAGATAGATAATAATCTATATTAAAATAAGATAAAAATATATTTATTTTAGGCTGACAGTAACATTGCTATTAAACATAACAACCCGAATCATGAAGGAGAATACAAGGAAGAGGAGTCAATAACTGATCGAACGGAACAAGATGTTATACTTGAACAAAATGTTATACCTGAACAAGATGTTATACCTGAACAAGATGTTATAGCTGAACAAGATGTTATACCTGAACAAGATGTTATACCTGAACAAGATATTATACCTGAACAAGATGTTATACCTGAACAAGATGTTATACCTGAACAAGATGTTATACCTGAACAAAAGTCGTTGGAATTTATTTTGGGGAAGCAAAATGCTCGCTACATGAAACACTGTGCTTTTAGTATTCAGCCGCAAAATTATCCAAATGCCATTAATTATGTAAGTATTTAAAAAAACAAGACGTTGTAGCATTTATTAATTTACAATTTCTTTTAGTTGCATTTTCCTTGTTCTATTCTACGACCCGGAGAAATCTATCGTCATGATTTGATTTATAAATTTGGTATCCAATTGGCTAATTACATGTGACGCATTTCTAAATTAGAAAAACATCAGGCCTGCATTTGATACAGAAAATATTTGATTAGACAATAAGAAACATGGTGAATACATCTTTCAGATTAAAACTTTTTTATTATTTTATTTAATAGTAAAAAAATAATTATAATACAGGTGTTATTACTGCGACCAGTAATAATGACCATCAAATTGAATAATTTAGTAATATTTATAATTAATCCATTGACACATCACTATCATTATCATAGATTAAATTTTCTTAATTCTTTTGGCTGCGAAAAATTTTGCAATGTTACCAACTACAGATCCAAATGAATCATTTATCACGATAGAACGTTGAATCCATTGAGGTAGTACTTTAACTTTTTGACAATAACGTCTGTCTAACAATACAACTGTCGAATAATCGTTGATATGACGAACGGATCGACCAATACACTGATTCACCGCTTTCATGCAAGCATTTTCATAAAAAATATTTCCAGCGTCTGGTTTCTAAACAGAAATTAAAAAGTCAAATAAAAGATTTTGAAACTTAAGATTAAAGTTACTTGTACTTTCTAAGCATTTTAACAAAGAATGTACGTACAACATGCTCGTTTAAGTATTTCATTTTTTCTTGTAATTCTGGTGACTTAATGTTAGGATATGGCAAGCCAATGACTATGACACACCGGCCTAAATCATCAGAAAAATTTAAACCTTCGCTTAATTTACCACCTGAAATATATCGTGTAAATATTAGAAAACTTATTTTCAAAAAATTTAATATAAATAAAATACAAATGAAAAATTTTCTATAATATTAATATGTATGTATATAAAATTTCTGTGATATTAATATATAATATTTTTAATGTACCAACTACGCTGAATAGCAATGCTCCGTTACAAGGGGATTGCGGATTCTTGATAGAATATGCATATTGATCCAATATCACATGAACCTATGTTAAAATAGACAATGTGTTTAATAGAAACAAATAATTAATAAAATTAATTTAATAAACGTGTAACAAAAAGTACCTGCGATGCTAATTTAGGTTCACGATAGATATGTTTCTTTGTAGATATTTTGGATATGATACCAAATTTATCTAGATGTTTAAATACTATATCCTCATAGTTGTAAGATGGGAAGAAAACTACAATTCCAGCTGGTACAATGTTACATAAATTTAATAATGCTCTACCTAATTCATCCAACTGAAACAAAGCATCAATCTCCGTGAACATCATTAATTCTTAAATATTAATTTTTTTTATATATGCATATATATAAATAAATAATTTTCTTTGTTACATGTATCTCTAAATAATACAGCAATCACAGAAATAAAAACAATTCTATTACCAATCTTGTATCTTGTCGATTGTGAAAATTAAATTCAAATTCAACTCCAGTCGGGCCACGCATTACGACATTGGATATAATGTTTTCCTTGGGAATTACATGATCGCATGAAAATGTCATTATTCTCTCCGGTGTGGCACCCGCCATTAAAAATAATTGATCAATAAATTCGGACATTGGCTCCATTGTGCCACCAGCCAATATCACAGATCTGGCGTCTTTCACTAAAAAGAAAAAGAAATATGTATTCAAATAAACGTAAAATTGACGAAGCATATTCTAAATTCCAATAAATATTCAATATGCTCACCCACGTCATGAAAATGTGCTGCTGGATTTAACAATAGAAATTTTATAATTCCTTGTCCGATAGTAGCGCCAAGTAAAACACATATTCTGCCGTCTGTACAGCTGCTCTTTAAACATTCTAAGAAGCTCAAAATTGCCATCAACGGATTGCTCGTTTGCTCTTCGTTACTATTTGGAGTATCCGCAACATTAACAATTTCTTGAGAATTTGTATCGTTGTTTTTAATCGAGTTTAAAAATTCCGTTATCCCGGTTTTCTTTGCTTTCTGTTCATTGATCTTTATACTATTGTCATACTGTTCAACAAATCCTTGTAATTTATGAATGAGCTTTGAGGTTTTAACAAATTCTAACAGTTTGAATATGTTTATTGTGTCGATCTCTGTAAGTACTTCGAATTCTTCCAGTTTGTACAATCTGGATGCTATCGTTTTATTAATCTCATCGTTGGGATGAGACTTTGTTGTTGCTCCGAAGAGAGTCAGAAGTTTCTTCAAGCAGAAACTTAGCTGGCCCAGATACATCACACTTTTAGCAGAGAATAAAGATTCAAATCTGTAATCAGATTATTTTCAGCAATTTGTTTAACAATAACGGAAAAAAATATATCATTACGACACCTTTTCTGATATTGCGATAATTGACTGTAACAGTGAAGCAAATTTCTCCCCGTGATTACAGAGCTATGCATTCCTTCGATGGCCTCCAATAAATTGTGAGCTTCGTCTATTATCAATATGTTCCCTTTTAAATCTATCCCTAAACTGGTTCTAGTATTTTTATGAAGAATTGAATTGTACGGTACCAATATCAATTGTCCATTTTGCAGAGATTTCCTCGAGCCATAATACGGACAAGTGTTATTTTCTTGTCCTTTTCGTGTTATCTCCTCAACATCTTGAATGTTTGTTAGAACCTCGGCCATTAATAATTTCTGATCACCTGGTATGAAAGGACAACCATTTGTGGTTTTAGCTCTCTTTAAATCTTTTTCCTTCTTAACAGTAGTCTTTTTCCTTTGCAATTGAAGACAGGTTTCATTAATCAGATTCGTGTGCTTCAATCTCTTGATGTTTTTATTAATGCAATAATTTTGCCTGAAATGAAATAGTAAAATATTAATAAACAGCTGGGCTGTATATCAAAATATTAAAATGTAAACAAGATACCTTGATGACAGTGGTACTACAGAAATATCTTGAGAATATGGAGATCTCTTTAATTCATGGACAAACTGTGTCAATTGTGAATGTGTTCTGGAACAGAAAAAATCTTGGTGTTTTTGAATAATGGTTCTTCCGCATCTTCATCCTCGGAACCTTCCGAGTTTGATAATCCATCTTCCAAGATAAAAGCCTTCTCAATGTCACAAATATCAGCGTCCACTTCTTCCATCTTATATGTTGTTTTATCTGACTCTGGAATCTTTTTGATGAATTGTTGTCTTACTTTTCCACTTGTTTTCGTTTGCGAAGCTTTCTTCGATTCAATCAATTTCTTAAGCTTCTCTCTTTCATTTTCATATTCGAGGAGTGCATTTAATGTGGCTTGCAATGGTTGTTTCTTGGCATTGAGTTCTATTTGCTCCGTTTGCACTGTAAACCAATTGTCTGATGGCTTCTCGCAGCTCTTTATTTTATCGTCTATTTCCGCAATCACCGAAGTTAACTCTTGCTTTCTCCATCTCTCATGATCGATCAACCACTTAAGCGCGCCACAGATAAGTGACAGGGATTTCCCAGTTCCAGTAGGACTTTCAAAAAGGCCCAATTTGCTGCCTTCCAAGCAATTATAAAGTTCTCTCATAAATCGCTTTTGAATTTCATATGCTGGGAAAGGAAACGGAAATTCTTCCGGAGGTTCCATATCAGTCAAGCAATCACAATATATTCAAGAATTTATATTTAATTTCTTCACTAAAATAAATTCATGAATTTCTAACCCATTTAATTTCTATCGTATCTCTCTTTGAGCGAAGTCTTTTTTCTGAAATGAAGAAAATGATAATTTATCATCGAGCATCACCTATTGAAGAAGATTTGATCTTCAGCGAACTGAAATCGTATTTATAATTGAATACAAACCTGAGAATTATACGTAATAATAATAATACGCAAACGTAAAACATTGAGCATACACATCAGTAATGGACTACCAGCTTGTCATGGCTCTGCCAAATCCTGTTTTATTTTCTACATTCTCTCTTCTTCCAATAACGTACTGCTATTTGCCGCCTTTCTTTCAACTTAAAGAAAGTGTATTGAGTGTTGACAGAGAGAGAGAAAGAGAGAGAGATTTGAATAGCTAAATTCTATACTTTTCACTTTTCGTCCTTTTCCCTCTCATCAAAATCTATAATACCGACATAGCTCTACAAACATTGAATGCTATGTCGGTATGATAGATTTATTAACCTAAACAGTCAACTTTAGCGATTAATATCTCGTTTCACGGAGCAGAACGACGCTTTTTTGTGCCAGATTCTTTCGTTTCGTACAAAAAAGCGTCAATCATAATCGGGGCTCACCAATATCGGGGCTAATAGAGGTAAACTGAATAATTATCTTTTCAAGCAAGAGAAAATCGAATGAGTGTAAATTTATTCTAAAACGAGAGACCAAAATAAAAAATTCATGATTCTACAGCTAATGAAATTCGAAAAATCTGTCGTACGACAAATAAAATGTTGCAATAAAATATACCGTACTGAATGTTACTAGATTTCCAGTGCTCCGCAGTGCTGCGCATGCGCACGAAAATCTTTCCCCCAACAACACTGGGTGACAGGCTGACAGGTAGAGGTAGTGCGGTGCGACGCGAGTCCAAATCCCGTGCATCCACTCGATACGTGATCGCTCGCGCGAGTGAACGCAAGTGAACGCGGTCCGAACTGCGAACGTTTGACATTACGATCGGGAAGCGTGGCGTAGTATCGCGTGCCGTCGTATCTCTGAAGAGGAAGAGGAAGAAGAGGATCCTCCATCGTCGCATCGTGCGTGTGCGGCGAAGACCTTTACTCCAAACGCCACTTCCACTGTCAAAACACGCCGTTTCCATCGTCGCCGTCGTCCCCGTCCACGTCGCCGTCCCCGTCGCCGTCGTCGTTGACACTCGTTCCGATCGCGGTGACATGCACGCACGGTCGCTCGTGCGTCGCTGCTCGTAGGTGCTCGTCCCCTCCCCGTGCTCAGTTCCTACGATGTGTACCACGTATCCGCGCGACTCACCCGGGAGATTCAGCTGCAGAAGAGGTAAGGGTTAATCCTATTTGTCCTATTCCCTAACCTCATCCGTAGAAAAAAAAAAGAAAAAAAACAGAGATCCGGAGCAACGGGATGCCGCGGGCGCGTGCTCTCACGTGCGGTTCCGCGAGCCGGAGGAACTCGCGGATCCGACTCGTGGATTCACGCTTTCGGATCGACCGCCCGTGTAAATAACATAAATAAACGTAACGTGTGCGTGATGCGCACCGTACGGTCAGCGGTGCGTGTTACGTCACCGTGTGTCGTGTCATGAGCCGCGTCTTCGACGCGCGTCGCTCGAAAAGATTGACATTGGGAGACGCGTTCGTTGATGAGTTTTTTTCTTTCGTTTTTTTCTTTTTTTTCCTCTGCAAATCGCAGAATGATCGTCGTGTTCTGGGTTCACGTGACATTTCTTGTACAAAAAAAAAAAACGAGGACGACGAGGATGGTCCCTCGCGAGGGAGCACGAGAGAAGGTGGACCATTTTATTTCTTTTTTCCAGTGTATTCGAGATTACTCTACGGCGGGCCAGGCATAAAACCGCAGGGATTTTCGTTTCTGTGAGTACCGAGAAGTCGCGGTGATGCGGGTGACAATCACTCAGGAGACCGCGTAATGCTTTTAATAATCCGATGGGAGAGGAAGGGTGCATGCACGCCTTGTTTCCTCGCATTTTACTAACCACATCTTTCGTTCTCTATCTCTCTTCTCGCGCCACACCTTCTCCATCCTTGTACCTCTTACTCTCGAGATCTCCACGAGAAATAATATTTTATCTCATCCCCACGCGACCTGAAGCAGGTCGAGATTCGAAGATCCGAGGAATTCACCCTCGAAGAACTTCGCGATAATTCCGGGAGTCGCGAGTCAGGAATGTGTCGGCTCCGTGAGAGAGAAAGAGAGAGATCTTCGGAGATTCCGGGATTCCGCCGCTACGAAGCGAACGAATCGCGAAGTAAACGACTCGTCGAGTCAACGGACGATTATCATCCCATTTGTGTACCACGGAAGTCCCCGCAATTTTTTTTTTCGCGATAGCAGGCGCAGTCGTTTTTGCTCTCTCGGGAATGAGTGGCAAAGGGAGGGAGAGAGGGAGGGAGAGGGAGTAACAGACATGAGGACACAATGAAAACGACGCGAGCCGTTCCGTTGATTATAGGGGATGGAGAGGGAGAGGGAGAGGATTACTTGGCACCTGCGTGGGCACTTCGGGGGGGTTAGGGGGTATCCTATGTGGTATCCGCTAACGTTAACGGTAAGCGGAGATTTTGCGCGAGAGTTACACGCGGCGCGAGAAAGGTCAGATTCCATGCATTTGTACGGCGTGAAAGGCCATAAGACTGTAAATAATTAATATACATGAACTAGGAAATATCTCGGAAACATTCGGTCGAGATCGCTGGATTATCGCAAGACTTCGCAAATCGAAGACAAAATCGCCACGGGATCAAAGCAAAACAATACGCTTTTGGTATACTTTCTATATCTTCGGTATTCAGAGAGAAATTATTCGATCTCCTTTTCAAGAAATTTCAATCAGACCCTATGGAGGCATACTATGGAGGAAATATTAGGAACTGAAATAGATATTAAATTTTGAAAATAAAAATTAGGAATAATAATTAAACGCATATGGACATAAGTATAAGACATAGGTATGATTAAATGAAAAGAATGGTTTTTTTGTTGATAAAAAAATTTGATCAGATACAGATCTGAAAATAATTTTGTTGGACCATCAAAATTATTGTTATGTAAAACGTTTAAATATGATGATAATACTGCAAAATTTTTTATATTCTAACAACCAATTTGAACGTTATATATAATAATTTTGTAGCCAACAAAGTTATTTTTAGATTTGTATTTGATCAAATTTTTTAATTTGCAAAAGTATATCTCATTACTCTATTGTGCGTTATGTTTAATCTTTATTCCTAATTTCCATTTCCAAAATTTATAATATTTATTCCTGTTCCTGATATTTTCTCCATTGTGCCTTATTTATAAAACTTGACAACGTGACAAATTCATTTGTGTCAACGTAACAATAGCCTATTCGAGGATGTTGGAGAGAAATAGAAAGCCATATTAATTTACATCTGCTATTTTAAGGTTTTGACATTTCCGTGTCGCTTGGATACTGAAATCTTCCAATTGCAAAATTATCCTTTATTCGGTAATCCTGTGTAAAATATGGAGGAATCGCGCGGAACGCGATTTAATATAATCCGCAACGCTCTCTACGACAAATCGAGTTGGTGCCATTTATCGTCCTACATTTGGTGATCGTAGCATACCATAATCATCTTTCACCACATCCATTTGATGCATTTCGAATAAAATTTCTCAGATGCTCCATATGATACGATATTTTAAAAGTCGTAGTCTCGGATGGTCGGACATTTGTTATTTTAAAGAATTATCTGCGTGTAAAATAAATATATGACGAACGCTCCCGTATTAAAAATCAACAAAAATATAACAAGACACAACATAAAATAAATTAATGTGTACATAGTTTACATTAATTTATTTTACAAAGGACAGTTTTGCTGGCAAATTTAAAAATTCGACTAGATACTGATCTGAAAATAATTTTGTTGGACTTTCCAAATTATTATGTACGTCCAAACGTACATCATTATGTATTATTGTTATGACGCTTAAGCACAATAATAATATTGCAAAAACTTTTGATCTTTTGGTTGACCAACTTGAACGTTGTATATAATAATTTTAAAGGCGTAATAAAATTATTTTCAGTATCTGTATCTATCAAATTTTTAGATTTATCAGCAGAATTGTTGTGTTGCGTATATTTTATATTATGTATTTTATGTACATGTATGTTATTTTTATTTTATATTGACATAACGGTACTCGTGATATTCGTCTTGCGAGAGATTGAATGGTGAACGTATCATTACTCATGGGTCAATACCCATCCGCGTTCGATCTGTGCCGAATTTTCGAAGAGAGCGGCGTCCGAGAAAGGGTCTTTAAAATCCACGACCTATTTTCCGAGTTTAGCAAGTAACACGTTTCTCATAACACGAGTTTACTTTCTCGCGCTATCTTCGGTAATCGAATGAGAAATGGAATTCTTGATCGGACGTATCTTTTTTTTTTTTTTTTTTTTTTTCATTTTATTAAATATTTGCAAGTTGGTGACTTTCCTTCGAGGTATTTTGTACGAGATTGTTTTAGAATCTGGCGAGGAAATCCGAGTACGCGTTTCGCTTCTGCTAATGTCTCTTCTTCGGGACGTTCTGTGCAACACTGGCATGTCTAATGGGGACGCGAGTTCGGTTCGTGACCCGCAAGATTGAGAACCGGTGCCGTAAACGCGAAAGGTATTCGTAGACGATTCATAGACGATGTGCCTCGTCGTGCCTCTGGTTAAATCGCGAGATTTTCTCCTTTCGATCGGGGAACAGGCCTTACGTATCGACCAGCGCGCGGAACTTTTCCCCGACTTATATGCTCACCTTCGGTGGCGGTGCTTTGTCTACTTTCTTGGCAACCCCTCCCCCTCCCTCCGCCCCGGCAGCATGTCCCCCCGCCTACGTCATACCTATGTCTCTTGTCGCCTGGCGCTCTTTTCGCTCCGTTCGATGAAATCGAACGAGGATCTCCGCGTCGCCAGTCGACCGCGAAATGAAATATTAATGAAGGTGAATGGGAAGGCAGGTGTGCGATCAGGATGAGAACTGTTACACGCATAGTTTAACTCCTTCCGCTTGCCTCCCGACACGAGCTGCGGGCGCGTGATAACGCAGCGTAAACGCAGCGGGAAGAGGTCTCGCCTTTTTGCCAATTTACACGGATGTACCTTGATCTTTACGCGCTCTCTTCTGAACGGCTTTGGCAATTAGCATAAACGTATATTTCGCTAATACTCTCGACTAACGCACATCTTTTTTTCTATGAACAGCGTTCGGTGTTGGGACAAGGTTGGCGGATCTATATGGGGCAATGCGTGTCTCGTAAGGCGGGCGCCGTCGTCGCAGCATCCGGTCATCACAATTCGCCCTCGTACCGTATCATGGACAAGGCCCAGAAACAGGTGAGCCCCACCGCACAGGTGAGAGATAGCGGAGAGATCAGCCGCGCTCGTTCGCTAGAAATACTCGGCCGTCCCGTCGATGGACGTTGAACTTCAAGGCTCGCGTTCTACCGACGTAGTCGAGCGTATGTCCCTGACTTCCGTTATTGCATTTACGCAATATCCACCGAGGGTCCGCGTGTACGTACGTACGTCAGGTATGCGTGTATGCGGCATTCTATATGCGGGGAGATCTATCGCGTACTCGGATGTATGGTACGGCGTATAGCGGAAAATCCAGCTGATCGCTGATCCACGCGGGCGACTAGGCTGTGAAGGTTCAACGCCCTTTCCTCAAACGCGATTCCACCAACGCAACGGGACCGCGTTTCACCCGCGAATAGATCATTCGCGCGCGTCCAGTGACTCGCATTCTCCCGTTTCGTCCTGTAAAAATGACAGTCGGCGACGCGTGACCGAGTCCCGCGCTCTCGCGATGACGTTTCGTAGCGCGAACACGAATTGAATAACAATTGGCTTGCTTTTTGTAGCCGGACTAGTGTACACTCGTTGTACATACTTAAAATGAAATAGATATTAAAGTGAAATAGATAGATGTATTTCAGATTGGCAAAAGCGAGATAGAAAGATTTAGTGCGGTCTGATGCAGGAACGGAAGGCAAATCTCAAATTTCTCGGCTACTTTCGATGCATCTGGCATCTGGCATCTGGCATCTTAGGACGCCAGTTTTCGATCTTACACGATCGAAATGTTCGAGCAATCTCAGTGATAGTATAGAATACCCCACGCTATTATCCTCTTCTGAAAAGAACAATTTTGCTGTAGGATCTAAAAATTTAGCTAGATGCAGATCTGAAAAATAGTTATTAAGACATTTAAATGTGATGACAATACTACTAAAATTTATTTATATTCTGTCAACCAAGTTGTCGAAAATTCTAATTAATAATTATTTTGATGATCCGACAAAATTATTTTTCAGATTTATATTCAAGGAAGCTATTCTTTCTACGTACGATTGAGATCTGCTCTTTCGACTGTATGAGTTGCAGAAAAATAATTTTGTTGATCATCAAAATTATTATGTAATGTGTTTAAATATAACAACAATACTGCAAAATTTGTTTATATCCTGGCAACTAATTTGAGTGTTCTAATTATTTTGTTGGTTCAACAAAATTATTTTTCAAATATATGTATTTGTATCGAAGCTATTCTTTTCGCGCATTCGATTATTCGCGATTAGAAGCTCTGCTCTTTCGATGTACGACTTGCAGAAAAGCACCGCGTAATCGTTTGCACGCTCGAATACCCTTTAACGATTAATATCTACAAAAAAAGGAATTCGTCTGTACTATGTATTGAACGTGCCACGTTACATCGTGTAAGAGATGCCGATCTCCACACTTTCGCGGCTCGCGTTAACTTTCTCATGCGCGAATCACGATGAATTAATTATCTTCGGACGGACGTGACGCGATAAATGGCAGCGTAAATCGCTTTAATAGCGATTATCGTTGCCTAGACTTGCACTATCCTGTCTATTATATTGTGTCGACGCACTGGAGTGTGCAGGTATGGTCTTGTAGAAAATAGCCTTCGCATATTAATTATTTGCGAAGGTGCGCTTAGAAATAAGTAATCAGTCCGCTACCGTAAATGTCGACAGTGATTCCTATCCTCCGTTTTAACATGATCGTGCCGTTAATGCGAGTTAATTTGAGGCAATCACTCCATAATATTTCCTTTCGGTAAGCCTCGACATACGCAGATCTACTTATTCCCGTCCAATCGATTTTGAGGCGATTTCCTTTCGTATTTCTCACTGGATTTTTCGTGTCGAGAACTTTTATGTTCACTTCAGGGAAACACACACGATTCGCGCATGCGATCTCTCGTTTCGACCAACGACGACGACGACGACGACGACGTCGACGTGCTTTCCATTGTTCGTCGTCACGCATGCCGGTTTCACAGCAGACCCACGCCGGAAGCTGGATAGGCCTGGCGTGGCTCGGCGGCGGCGCGTGCACGGTTCAGGTGCGAAGAAGGAGAAATCGCGGGGAACGCTCTTTTCTCTCGTCTTTTCTCTCCATTGTCTCACTCCCATCCGCCTCTTCCTCCCGCGTTTTCGACCGTGCCGATTCGCACGGCGGAGATCGCGCCGGATCGAATGCCGCTTCTTTTCCCATTGTTCCCATTGATGTCCTCTCGTTAGAGGCTGCCGCTCGCCCGGAGATTTCGTGCTCGAGATGCACGTCTGGAGCGGAAGCGCCTCCTTTCCTTCGGTGAAACCGTCGCGCGCGTGCACACGTGCGTGAGAGTTCGATGGACATCACGTGGGTGGATAAAGAAGTGGCGAAGACGTGCGAGCTAATTTCGATTCGGTTTTAATTTAAATTTTTACGCTTTGAGATCCAATTATTCGACAATTTTGAATCGAGGAGATCAAAATGCGAATCACGTATGCTGTCTTGAATTTAACTTTCTAATAATTATGTTGATTAAAAGTAAGATTTAATTCTACTTTTGAAATTTTATTACTTTTCGCAAGAAAATTTAATTTTATTCGATTCGCATAAAAAATTTTTCGTTTGCATATTTTTATAAAGAAAAATTCCGATCGTTTCGACTATTGATCTATCTATAAGTTTCCTTTGTTCCCGGGTGCGTTATCACGACGTTACTATCGTAAAAGACTACTCGTGTTATCAGCAAGGCCGATTACGAAGAGTTAGTTTACAGAAAAGAAGCGATATCAAGATGAAATCCAAGTCTCCTAGAAAATACGATATCAGAAGTCGTTTTGCTTTTATCGTATCGATCCACCGATTGGATCTTTGTTTCTTTGTAAGACCAGTAGCTTCTATAGAAAAGCTATAATGAAAAGCTTTTATGTCAACATTGTAACTTGGTTTGTATTAGCCCAAAGTGATGAAGCGTTGAAACCGTTCGTGCGAAGCAGGTTCGCTCCACCTCGTCGATTTCGCATAATCGTCATCGTAGCCGCGAACTCCGGGGAGCCGCTTCTGCCTCTGATAACGATGCGCCACGATCGACGCACACTCAGTCGCGTCGCTGAATCAGCCGAGCTGTATACAGGGTGCGTCCCGAATGTTGAGAGCGATCGCCGGTGGCAGGGTTCTTTCTCCGGTTGGACGTGAAATCGATTCGTCTTCCACGAATCTCCCCGACGGGAAGAGCGAGCGGGGTGAGCTAGGGTTTTCTAGACCACCTGGATTCAGTCTTCGTCGAGTCAGGACACGCCTGACCGACGAAGGCCGAAGACGATCCGTTCGAATTCCTCCCGTCGGTTCCATAGATGACCTCGAAGTCGAAAATCGAGTGGAGCAAATCGAGAGACACACTTTCTCGGGTGAACACCTTGTATGTACACCGGGTGGTAGCCGGGGCGCGGGCGCATCCGCAATCAAAATCAGCCCCTCGCCTACGTCGTCGTGTGCACGTCGGCGTCGCGACGCCGGCGCAGACCGCCGGATCGATCCTCCGCGTCGTTTCCTTCGCATCCCGAGCCTCGCACGACGAGGTCGAAGCCGCCGAGGGAGCGAGCGAGACGAAGAAAGTGCGAGGAACATGCGGGGGTGACGGGGACGATCACTACGACGACGACGACAACGACGACGACGACGACGACGACGACGACGACGACGGTGGTGGTGCGCTGTCGTGTTCCCTCGCCGTCGTATGCCACCCTTACGATGTGACGGACCATGAAGAGGACTCTCTATCATTCTTCTCTTCTGATAAGAGAACGCGTTTTTCTCGCGCCAGTTAAAGATATATATATTCGAGGAATGACGTAAAGCGACGGTGGGTGGCCGTCAATCCCCGTGAGAGATCGATCGACGACCGGCTGTGTGACATTGGCCCGGAAGCACCCGTCATGGAATACCGGTGCGGCAGCACGAGATGCGAGGACGACTCGTTGGAGAACGAGAAGGGAATTGCGGTAAGGGATGCTCGAAATCCGCGATAAAGCCTCGTCTCTCTCTCTCTCTCTCCCTTCGGAGAGGATGCGCGTTATACGCGTGTGACAATTGGATGGCATTATCGTGAATAATATCAAAGTGTTGTCATTTGTCTCTTCAATGTGATCGAGTTTCTATGTCATTTGCTGAAATCGGCGGAGTTCCAACTTAATCCTCGGTTCTAGAATTGAAAGTGATTTTTATGATACCCGATGTTCATCCACACATTTTTGATCTTCGTTATTTTACATCTGATGGAGATGTGATAATTCTATATATTACATTTATTATATTTATTATATCGTAATGTGCCGCATACATTTGAAAGTCCTCGCAATCGCGGGACACGTTGAATGCGGTGACTCAAGCTTTCGAGCCTCATCACGAATGCGCTCGAGACGCGCGCGGACGCGGATCTCAGATTTGTTACGCTATTTCTGGAGTTCAAATGGGGTTGCGCCAGCTGCCGCGACGGCTCTCAGATGCGCCTCCGAGAGTTGCACCGTGGTTCCTCAGTCGACTCGATCATGGACAATGCGGTGCTCGCGTGCACATTGTCGCGGAGAGCTTCGTCCGCCGCGGGATGCGCTATCGCGTTGTTATATAATCCGCACACGAATATCGATTAATATTGTTGCAGCCGGGAACCACGCAGAAGGTTCGTCAAATAGGCCCCGAAACCCTACGAACGTGCGACGATGTAGGCGGCACGATGCCGAGTGGATGCTCGAAAAAAAGCGGAATTTAAAGTATCGAAAGTATCGTGGAAGAGCCGAAATCGTGCTCGCGTTAAATGGCTAAGATATGCGTAATATATCACACGATCGACGAAGAGCGAAGTTCAATCAGGTCGTTGAAATTCAATTACACGGGATATCGATCTTCTTCTACGAATATAATCGTCGCGGCTAAATGCGTGACTAGGTACGATACGCTGCGATAAACTCAGTTCTTACATCTTGATATGAAGTACCCTTTGTTCGTGACGGCGGTGGAAACGCGATAACGATCGAGAGATGGACTTTCTCGATCGAAGAGCCAGCGTTGCGAACTTGGCTGTAAATAGAATGATTCTCTTAATGAGCGATTCTTATCGCAAAAAGAATAAACGGTCTCTAATATGTACGATATGTGCGTGTGTGTGTGTGTGTGTGTGTGTGTGTTCGCTTCAACTTCATCTTCCGTGACATCAGTTTATCTTTTTCTCGCGTTCCCATTTTTTTTCACATCTCATAGATCTTGTGTCTCTAATAAAATATTCTTTTTTCAGGGCGATTTACGGGGCTCCTCGAAGCGCGGCACGTCGCACACGCGCGGCACCGCGATGTCCTTCGGCTTCCGACGACGGCCCGCCAGCGGGATCCCGATGCCGATAGCGAACTACGCCGCCGGCACCGCCAGCGAGAAGAGCCTGCTGCACCCACGATCAAAGTCGGCCGGCCCGGAGCAAGATCGCAGGCGTATGATGGACGACGACAACAGCAACGTGATTTATAATTCGTCGTCCGGCCGGTCGACACCGCGACTGGCGCCGCCGAAGAAGGACTCGAGCGGGATCGGCGTCAGGACGAATCGCTTCGGTTACCGGCAGCCGCAGGCGAGATTCACGAATAAGGTGGGCGACATTTGCAGCAGTCACAGCATCAGCCACTACAATCAGGAGAAGCTGCAGCAATATCCGCAGCAGCAACAGCTCCAGCAGGAAAACTACTTCGTCAAGCAGCAACCGAACCGGGTCGTCGCGCACGTGCCGCAACATTTGTGCAGCACGACGGCGCCGGCGAAGCCTCGCCCACCGCAATCCAACAATGCGGCTTACGGCGGAAATTCGACGACGCAACACACGGACACCAACAGACGAGTTTCAGGCATTCCAGAACCCATCAGCAGGTACACGCTGCATACCAGCCATCTGCCGCTGCCGCAGTACGCCGTGCGCGTCAATGATTCGAACTCCAAGATCGCGAAAACCGCGGCGAATCAGAGCAGAAAAATATCCACGTCGACGTTGAAGGGTTCGTCCAGCTCGAAGGAGGGTTCGGTGACCGAGGACTCGGGTGTCAGCAGCCAACCGGCTGGTCCGGAAGATAACGATAGAATCAGATCGGTGGATTTCGTGGACGATGGTTCTCTGAGGAGACGCGGCGTCGGCAGACCGAGGAATCTGCGCATGGTGGTGACCGGCAAGAGTTTCGACGTGAGAGACGTCCGGGACGACGACAGCACAGTCACAGAGATCTCTGTGATCCCATTGCCCAAATCCTTCGCGACCGCTGCGGTCAGCCTGAATACCGGCTTTGTACGTGAACGCGCCACGCAATACCAGCGAATCGTTAACAAGGACAACAGATACACCGATTCGACCGCCTCAATGTCCACTACGTCCTCAGAGGGATACGACGAGGGTTGTTTGAGCGAGGAAAAGGTCTACAAGGATCGATCGCGCACGGAAAAGGTCCCGTCCATCAAATCGGACTTCAGCCCGCCTAGTTCGGACGATCCCGAATATGGCCACGGCGAGGCCATGGCGGATGAGTACTCGTTGAGCTCTAGTGACGAGTGCCAGCGTTCCAACTCCATCATCACCCAGCACGCGCAGGCGATCACCGCTGCAACAAAGAATGGCACGACATCAAAGAACGCTCTACGCTCAGTGCTGTTAACCATTGAAGATCCGGCGTTCGCCGCTGCTGCCGCTACCACAACCACTTTGATAGATGACGAGACTTCACCGGTAGATAGTCTGTTTGACAGTCCCACCGCCAGCATCACTCAGTCGGATGGAAAGCCTTCGAAGAGGGACGAGGAACACGCGTACGAGCGTTCAGATAACACTCTTGAGGACGACGGTCCCGGCACGCCGACGAACGCCTCCAACTCGCTCAGCTTGTCCGAGGGTAGAGAGTTCTTCGACGATGAGATCGCGGATCAGCCCGGATTGATTTTCGATGATAACAACTCGAGGGCGAGAATTGAAACGCAATCTGCTATGGGGGGACAAGTAACCACCGAGAATAGCCACACTCTGATCGAGACAAGCTCTAAAATGAGTAAGTACGAATGTTATTTTTGAAATTCTCGCCTTATTATAAACCTATTTTATTAAACTATTATTGAATTCGATCTAATAATTATTATCTTAATATACATAAAAATAAATACATGTTTGTAAATACATATTTTGTCACTGACAATAACATGTCTGTGATTTTCGTTACAGATGGTGCGCACATCAAGGGTATAGTAAACAGTCCTCATCATGGACAACGTTTGCATCGAACAGGAAGCGTAGACACTTTATCGCCCTGCGAATCCATCGCCTCGGATGATTTAATGTTAGATTACGACGGCAGTGACGCAAGCTCTTACGAGGAACAGCAGCGGTTAGCATTAAGATATAACTTTTAACAAGCGAGATACACATATGTCATAGATTAGCTCGAATACAAAAGTATCACCGTTTCTTTTTCGTCGAATCGAGTTATCATCTATCTCTCTTTCTCTTTCAGATTAAATTCCAATCCCGCGTTGCACGAGCTGGATGATGCTACTATAATTTCCGAGCTGGAGGCTCAGGGCGAGGAAGTCATGAGGCAGTGGAGTTCGTTGCTGAACACCGCGCATATGGAGGAGGCAAATTCTAATTCTGCCAACAATAATTCCATCAATAGTGCGACTGGCAACAATAACAATCAGACCATCACCGAATCTGGGTGTGTATTCGCATTTTTCGCTACCTCCCATGCTTTCGTCGCTTTGTCGAAATGTACCCCATGATGCATGATGCTTTTCCGGGAATAACTAACCGAATGTTACTGCAATTAGATTTACAACGTGTGACGTACTTGCAAATGATATGTAGATTATATAAAAATGTTCCTCTCCTCTGATCAGAACGAAGAAGCACATATTACCGCTTCTCTGGCGGTATTGTTATTCCTTTATATAGATAAAATCCGATAAAATACGGTATCTAATTTCCGTTTTTGTTGTGCTTTTTGTATGTAGTGCTTTTTAGATATTCTAATCGTAACATCATTCTGTCCCTTTTGTATGTAAATCGAATTTGTATACTTCAATATACACTCGTATCAATTATTTTCGCTTTTGTATGTAATATCCATTATAACTTTGAATGCATAATTTTGGTTAATCTCTACGCGTTTATAGAAGAATTTTCACAAATATAGAGACTGTAGTATAGTGAAACTGTAGCAAGTTTTAATTAGAGGTAGTAAACTATATATAGGAAGATTAAAAGAGTATCTGGTCGATGCTGTAATATAGTTAGTGGATAAAATATGCATATCATGCGAAGGAAGGAGACAAAGGATGTGTCATCCAACCATTAAATTGATATATATCCGCTCTATCAATAGTTATAAGTCACTCTTGAATTTCGATCAGTATGACTTTTCGGATTTTTTGTATATTATGTCTCTCGTGTACAAAAAAATTCTGCAAAGTCAATACTTAATATTAAAATGCCTTGTAAGAAATTAATGATGTGTGCAGGTGGGAGCATTTACATACTCTCTAGAATATTAACATCGATATCTTATCTCAGGAAAAATATTTTTTCAACTTATCATGAAAAACTCGATAATCTGATATTCGCGATATTTTAATTTTCTCGTTGTAACATATTCCATATTTCTAATTTTTTTACAATATACAATTACTTTTTAATTAAATGACAATTTAGCGAAAATCTTTAGAGAGGAAGTGTCACATATATATTTCTTCAAACTTCTCTTCACGTCCTTCACACATGCTTCGCGTACATTATATGCTATTGTAGACACGATATATATATATATATATATGCAATTTTATAACTCCAGTCCGTACATCAAACTGCAATGAAGACTCGCAAAAGTTGATCGTTAAGCACTCTGCGCGAGAAGATTGCTTAAAACTCCATCGCGTAAAACTCCATCTTTCTTATTGTTCTCTATTTCTTAATCGGGAAGCGATATTTTCCGTGTCGGGAGCACGAAATACTTTTAGAGGCAACATTTCGGATCGCGTTCGCAATAATAATCGCGCAAAGTTTCGAGCACGTCATGGCCACACGCGCATAACAACCTACTCTCCTTTATGTTAGTTCCTTTTTACTCGGTAGCTTTCTCGGCAAGAAAAAAGCGTACATCTTGTTTAACACGCGTTAAAACTTGTCCATCCTCGAGCCCTTCCTATCCTCTACCTTGCAGTTCTTAATCTCGTCTGACCTTGTAGCTTTCGTCTAGACGCAGCATCACGTACTCGTCTGTTTCATCACTCGTTTTCGTTCCGCTCGTCATTAACGGTGATTACGATCAGCAGGTTTCAATGTGCGGTTATTGAGAGACAGAAATCGAAGCCTTTAAATATTTCCTCCTGCTAATTTTTTTCAACAACATCTACCGATACACGTAGGTCTGTAGGGAAGAAATGTAGTCGCTTCCAAGGGTAGATTGATTCAATGTTGAGAATGCGTGATATTTTTCATATGGAAATGAGCCTGCTAACAAAAGCCAAGTATAGGATATTTCCCTCTTTAAAATATCATGAATTCTCAGTGACATGTGTGTGTGTCTCTCATGCTCATTTCTATCAATGTAGATTAACTTTAATCTCGGTTTAATTTACTTTTCTTCTTTTTCTAATTCGAACAATTAGAAAAGAATAAAAAAATAGACTTAAACCGAGATTAAATTTAATCTACACTCGTGGAAATAGATATCAGTCGATGGAGCTCTTGCGTTTGACATGATTATGTTTGATTTTCCCCTATGAGGCGTTACGTACGAGGCACACGTGCATCGTGTGTGGCCTCTTACCCTCTTGCTTGTACAGAATGAACGAAATAAACATGCCCGCACACACATCCGCCACAGGAGACGCCACAATTCAGCGACAGTATTCTGTGTTCTAGCGCGCTAGTAAAACGGGTGAAGCAATTGCAAATTCCCGATGAGGACTCCGCGGGTGGAGACTACTACCAGCTGACATACCCTAACTAGCGAGCGGGGTTCGCCGGTCCTCCCTTGAATGTCGACTAAGCAAAACCGATAACCGCACGCAGCCGATTACCGAGACACAGTAATAATAACACACGGACGCAAGAGTGGTTGAACGCGCGAGTGGTCGCGTAAGGGGAAAAAGAAAGGAACCGCGTTAAAGTGAACTCGTGGGACTTTCAAGATACAGATTGGCAGTCAGAAGGTGTACGATTTTTGCGTTTTCTTTGTGTAAGAAGAAAGAGATCTTTCATTTGCCAAAACGTGTAATGCGACCACTCACGAGTTAAATAGACAGACACGTTGTCAAGAGTGTGAGTGAGAGAGAAAGTTGATTGGAAGAATTCGAGCGATGATAACGATAGCGTATGATATCGCAACCGGGAAAATCTGGCTGGCTATGGTTGTGCATCTGTAACCACTTTTGCTTAGGGTACGGTTAAATAGAAAAAAAAAAAAAAAACAGATGATTTTCACGTCGTGATTACAATTAATTTTAGTATGCGTTTTCAAGTTTATTCCAAAGTTAGAATAGTTCGACGAATTAAAGTCTTTTTTAAATTCTCGCAGAATAATCGCGGTACAATTGTTATTTAATGTAAGAATGTCCTTTTACGGATAGTTTTTTAGTCTAATAATTTTTTACTATAAGGTTTATGTACCTGTAGATATATTTTATTAGTTTTTTTAACAGACCTTATACATAATTATTATTCGAAGTTTCACGAAGTTTCCGTATTATATGTCTTCTATTCTTGTTTTTGAGAGAGAAGTCAATCAATCTATTACGAGGAACGTAATAATACATATATAACTAATAACATAATTAACCATTCCATCCCGCCCAATTTCTTAAGCTGGATGTAGATGGGAAAGGTGCTACCTCAAAGGTACTAGTTCTCCGACCCCCGCGGCTCGATTAGCCTCGTTAATTTACCTCTCTCTTTCGTTTCCAAGGGAAATATATCTTAACGTGATTTCACGAGGCATATAAGGCATCGGGTAACTTCTTCGAGATTACAAACGCGTCCTTATTACGATCGCAAAGATTATCGATTCTCTCAAGTATAATCGAGGTATATAGTTGAAGCGTAGTTCAGTAGAGTAACCCGCCGACCACGTTGTAAACTGTTCGCCGGTTTACAACAGGTCGTCTCGCTGCGTCCCGGTTACAACGCTTAAATGTGAGCGATCTTTCTGGAAAGAAATCCGCGCGAGTCACGGGCGGTGTACCGGCACCGAGCGGGCGCGTCTGATAGAGCGTGGCGCGGGTGATAGAGATTATTTTTCTAATTTCGTATTTTTCCAATAACGATGCTCGAACGTCGAGTTCCTTCCAAAATTGTCGTCCCGTCGCGATTCAGCGGCCGGCGGTTCCAAGTGGTTTTCCCGATCCCGAGTAGACGCACTCTAGTCCTCCTCCTAGTCCTCCCAGCGACCGTTGCTTTTAAACGGTAACCAACCGCTATTTATTTAATACGTATTACAGATACGTATAGCGTAATTCATTTTAACACTCCGGTGCTATCAACAAATAGCTGAATGAATTAATCGTATACTCGTGGCATTATAGAGAGCTTGTTAGGTGTAAACGCGTAGCTTGATAGAAGAGACGAGTCGGTGTCATCCTTCCCGCCTTCCTTCCCTTCTTTGAATCCATCGTGATGGATGAGAACAGCGCGGCTGATACGCGTTGCATTCCATTAGCTTAATTATCGATTAATTCGTAATTCGGAGCAATCGATCTCGCGCTCGCCTGCCGATTTCAAGCCGCGTTTCGGTCTTTCTTTCGGTTCTCGATACGCGCCGTTACGTTTTGCAGTAAAAAGGTGCGCGTTTCTCCTCGATGTCCCGCGGCCTCGTGCTCGTCCTCCTTCATCGCGACCGCGTCTCTCCGCGAAATTTTCCTTTGCATTATCGTCGCTTCCCTTCCATAGGAGGTATTCCAGCCGAGGTACCGTTATCTCACGTTAGATTGGTGACATGAGCGAAATACGATCGTGAGCTTGATCTTCTTTTACGTTTAAGCGGATTCCCCACCCGGAGACGAGGCAAGCCAACGCGCTCTTAGGGAGGCTTGTCTCAAGTAGGCTATTTAAGTTCCATGCTGGATGGCAGAACGCAGGAGAAAAAAAAATGGCATACGCCTCTTCGCTCGACGAGATTCGGGGAGCGTGGCGAGAAGCGATGCGCGGCTTTTGAGGAGCTCGCGCGATTCCGCGAGATCATGCTTAAGACTAATGGATACAGGATGTTTCAAAAAATGGAGATCAATCGCTTCGAAAGTTGGGAAAATTGGGAAATTGGGAAAAACAAGAGAAAACAAGAGAAAAAGTTAGTATGGACATAGATCCGGAAATGTCTTGTTTTATGTTGAAATTTCCATTTTCATGTTGAAATTTCAAATTGCTTTCGAAATTTTGTCAAAATTGAGAGAAGAGAAGATCTTTATGAGTTTTGTAACATAATTAAAGTTAAGTTGCTTTAGCGCTACACAAGATGCACCACGTGGAGATACAACTTAGTATCTCTTGGCAGAGATCAGAATTCCACAGTTGTGCATCCTGAATAGTGCTAAAGCAGTCCACAACTTTTATTTGACTTTAATTATAAATATAAAGCTTTTATTTGACTTTAATTATAAATATAAAGCTCATAAAGGCCATCTCTTCTTTTAAATTTTAACAAAAAAATTCGAAAGCAAAGCAATT